CGCCGGCGGCGGGGAGCGGCCGGGAGTCCCGGGGGTGCGGGCTCTGCCGGCAGCGCCCCCCGAAAGCGCCCTGCCGCGGGCCCTTCTCCAGCGGGTCAGCGAACCGGAGGGAAAACCGGCAACAGAACCAATGCGTATTTAAAGCCAAGTGGCTTTAAACCCCCTGTCGAGTAAAGAAAGCCCTGTTAGGAAGGCAAGCTGGTGAATACACAGCGACTGGTTCTCATCCCAACAGCGTCCGTCTATGTGCTGCACCCGTGAATATGCTGCGCGCTCCCAGGGGTGGTGGGTCGAGAGTTCCCCGTCCCTCGGTACTGCATGCAGCACCGCGGCTGCTGTTCGTGGCCAAACCACCCGCTGGTTTCAAGCTGATCTTCCTCTTATTCAAAGCAGAAGGTTTCCTATTCCAGGTTCCTCACTGATGTGCTCTGCAAGACAGATTTGCTTGCAGAAACCTCCTACTGTCCCTTAGAGGCCTTATTTTGTGTCATATCCTTTCTTATAAAAGAATGATACCTACAGAGGTAACCCTATGATTATATTTCCCTTCTCTTCTTTCTCCTCATTAATTGCCCCTAAGTAACGTGCAGACCTGCTCTTAGCAGGACTTCCCTCCTACAGGAGTAGATGGTTTTGATCCGATGCAGAATATGGCTTAAAAAAATCACACGGAGTAGTAACTTGTAACTGTTCTCTGTAACTCATTATGTTACCCGAGTTTATAGCCTCCAACTCTAATCCCCAGGAGGGAACCACCCTTCTTGTTAGCAGCCGTTCAATTGGCTTAGCTAAAATTTAAATGTCTAGCTTCCTCTTCGGGTGGCCAGGTGAAGCAACCTCTGGCTCTGTGTGTAACTTGTGCTCGCACATGGCACACCCTGAATTAGCAACCGAGCTTAGTCCCTGTCTGCTTCGGAGCGCAGGAGCTTAGGGTGTGTGTGAGGATGACATGAATGACGGGCTTCTTGCCAGAAACGGTCACAGAGGAAGCGCTGTTCTCATCTACCTGAAAAGGACCGGTCTGGCGATTTGAGTAAAGTCATGAAAGCATCTGTTTCTCCAAAAAGCTGTACTTGTTTGTAATGTTCTTGCTTGTAGCATCCTGCCAAACGCCTTCCCTCGCACCGAGCCAAGAGCCAGGCAAGCTGTTCCTGCGCTGCCGTGTACACGCCTGATCCAGGGAGCGTTTTTATGGACACAGAATGGAGAGAAACTTTGATTCCCTATAATTTACTGAATATCAGATGCTGTGCGATGTTGCTCAATCATGTCTGAGTTCTTCGGGTTAATGTGAGGAACAGGAAAACTTCAGATGCTGTGTAGTTTCTTCTCAGCTCGCTCAAATGCGGTTAGCTTGGGTGGCTAAAGGGGACATTGTTGCTGTCTTGCCTCCACTATCCTGAGTGGATGAGTGCAGAGAAAGGGCTTTCTCTCTGTCCTCTAAACATAACTGTACTCTTGCTCACTTTGAGTAAAAGTGTGTTTCTTTTTCAGCTGCTAATTCTGGGATTAGAACTCAAATGTGCTGCTAACTGAGTAGTCATTTGAAGGCACCAGTGTTTCCAAAGGGTTTAGTGTGAATTGTTCTGTTTTCAGGGGTTATTTTCTTACTCATCTGGTCTTGTCAAAAGCATCTTATTTTTCTTTATCTTCCTTTGACACTTAGACAAGTGATAGGGTAGGGAAAAGCACAGGAGACACATAAGAAGCACAAGCATAAACTAATTTTATTTAGAAATACCAACGTGTCTGTGTGTGTTATACATAAGAACTCATCCATACGGAGCCAATCCCTTAGGGAGCAGGGCACAGGTGTGAATGCAAAGCTTAGCCTGTTCCTGTGGGAAACGTTTCCTCTGAGTACAGGCAATGCCACACACCGAGCAGTTATGTTGCATGCATATACGCCTTGGGTGTGTTGCAGCAGTGCATGGATGCCTTCTCTATCTGATAAGGGCAGGTGCCAGGTACCCGCAGCGGTTGTATGATCGTTGTCCTCAATGCTGGTCTAAAAGAAAGAGAATAGAAAAGTAAGTCATAAATCCAAATTCTTTGTGCCTTTGTGTCCCCGCACGGATGTGCGTTCCTGGTTTTGAAGGGTGAGAATTCTGGCACCGAAATGGTGTGCGATGCGGCTCTGAATTAGCTGGAGAGGTTGTTCATAAATGTAGGACTGTTGTCTTCGGCCCATTGAGAGAAAATTTTCCCATCGTCAGACTTGCCTTCTGTAAAGAACTGTTGAGTGAGTGGAAGGATTTCTTGTGAAGGTACGGGATGGAAAGTCAGAATACATCTAGTAAGAGTCTGGAAATGGTGAAAAACGTCACAGAACTAGTTTATCTCTTGGTAACTTATATAGGGAGAGCATTCCCTTCCTACCACACAAAGAGAAATCAATCGGGGTTTGTGAGATGTCCAGCTGTGACAGCGCAGAGGCCATTTGAGCCAATTCTCCCGCAGGCAGTGGCTATCTGTAGCAGGTATGCCGTGCTGGGAGCACAGGAGTGGAGATGGCTTATCTGGATTCCTGATTCTGCTGTGATAGCTTCCCCGATGTTACCAAAAGGCCAGATTACAGGAGATTATGTAGGAGAGCAGGCTGTGAAAGCGTACAAAAGCAGCAGCAGGCATGAGGGGAAAAACCTCTTCAGGCTTATGCTTTGCACTCCAGGGCACAGTGAATCTACAGAAACATTGCGGGAATATAGAAATCTTCTATAACTTGCCAGGGCCTATATAACAGGACAAAGAAATGTGCGTCTGGCCTTGATGATAGCACCAGGAGAAACGGCTGGGGGAGGCAGTGATCTGGCCTTGTGTTAAAATAAAGCCTTTGAACAAGTGTTGTCGCTTTTTTTTTTTGGCAGGTGATTGCCCTTGTGATGGATTCCTTCACAGATATTGATATCTTTGGTGACCTTCAGGATGCCTATAACAACCGCAAAGTCCCTGTCTATATCCTTCTTGACCAGGACTTCCTACCCCATTTCTTGGAAATGTGCAAGAACTTAGGAGTTTGTCCTGAGCAGGAAAGCGTAAGTACTAAGCATGCGTGGGTGTGGGGTTTGTTTTTAGTTTTTGTGGTACAGTTAACGGTTATGGATATCAAAGATACCCTTCTATAAAACATCAGACTCTCTTGAAAGACTTGTCTTTTCTGTTTGATAACTGGTATAAAAGGGGGTTTTCTGAAATGTTTCTCAGCTCTTGAAGATCAAGGCTCAGTATTGCATGGTTTCAGTATAGTCTCTAATCCAACATGTGAAACTGCTTGCAAACTCGGTGAAAACAACGTAGAAAAGGCACATCTACTCCTACCCTATGCTACCTATATGTAGGAGCTACAGCCATGCTGTGCAGCTCCCCGGTGTGCCGGGTGGAGCGTGCACTTGTGATCCCTGTCCTGAAGAAGCAGCAATTTTCAAGCATTTAATTCTGCAAGATCCAAGTAGCTTCATTCTTTGGCTCAAGGAACTGCTTACTAAGGAAAACAGAAACACAGGAAGCTCAAGGGTGGTATAGCTTTGGTAACATCCCTTTTCTTCACTAAGGCATAGTTGCTTTCTTTTAAAAGGGTTTGGATGATGTGACCCAGGTGGTTTACTTAATTCCTTTCAATATAAGCTGACATGACTATGTTATGTCTTGGCTTGGACAGGCTTGTGTTCACCCTAGTGAGAGCTTCTCTGGATGGGGAGCACTCCTTGCTTTGTAGGCAGTAATTCATAGGAACGAGTTGTTCTCTCCAGCTTGATTCTCCTAATATAACAGAAATTAAGCACTGTGTAACTAATAAGACTCACATCCAGACAGTGTGAGGAGTTCACTTCATTCCTATCTTTCATAGTGTGTGTAGCTGGTTTTAGGTAGAATTGCTAATCAAAACTTTTTGGAAGTTAACTTAAATCTGATGTTAGTTTTTCCCTTCTCTTCTGAAACAGCTGATGAGAGTTCGAACCCTCACTGGGAACACCTACTATATGAGGTCGGGTGCCAAAATTGTTGGGAAAGTCCATGAGAAGTTCATGTTAATTGATGGCATTAGAGTGACAACAGGCTCCTACAGGCAAGTATTGGGGTCTGCTGGTGCCTGATGAAGCTATAGAAAGGGGGAGTTTCTGCAAGAAGGATGTATTAACTTTGCTTTGTGCCTGGTACTAATGAATGCCAATGGCAAGTGGACTAGCTGAGTCTAAGTGGGACTAACACAAACCTGGAAGCAGCTTTGGAAAACTGGTTTGCACAACTTGTTGCTAGCAAAGCACTTGGCCATGGCTAAATAGAGCTCTTCCTGAAGAAGAGAGAGTGAATGGTCTGTTGACTTTTACCTTCCTTATGCACAGCACTTCTAAGCTGAGTCTTGCTATCTGTAACCGTACGTGTTGAAATGCACTGGAGATTAACTGTGGATCTTGGTTTGTTTTCAATAGTTTCACGTGGTCCGATGGGAAGCTGAACAGCAGTAACTTGCTGCTGTTGTCAGGTCAAGTGGTTGAACATTTTGACCTGCAGTTCAGGATTCTTTATGCCCAGTCGATGCCCATCAACCCTAAGCGGCCGTCCAGCTGCAGGAACAGTGGGATATTTGATCACCTGGTGAGCAGAATAGAGTCCCCTAAAGAATATACCGTGGAAGGCAACTTGAGAGCAGAATTTGCCAGATTGTCTAGTACTCCAAAGAAATTGTTGAAAGAACTAGATCAGGCCGAAGATACTCCTGGAGGCAAACCTTGTAACCTGGGGCATTCTTCCCTCTGTGAAGAGGAGTGGTTCAGCGATCAAGAGGCCACGGTGGAATGGAAAAGCACATCGACTCAAACTGGCCCATGGGAAGAGAAGCCTGTGGTGACCATGTGTAATGCTGCCACGCAGACCCATGCTGTAACGGCAGAAACTGGCACTCAGACTTCTGTCGCTGCTAGAATGATGGGCACTCAGACTTCAGTTTTGCTGAAGACTGCAGTGACACAGACAAAGGAAGATGAATACACAGAAACACCTCTGCTTCACAGAAAGCTGTCAAAAGAAGGATCTTCTCTGTCTGGAAAGGCTGTATCAAGTTCTAGTCTGCGATCACTGTCTTCGTCGTCATCGCAGTGCTCTCTTGCAAGCTCTACTGGCTCACTATCTTCTCTCCGGTCCTTTGAATATTCTAGCAGTCACAGGGCAGACTATTTCCAAAAACTGCATAAAGAGAGGCAATTCCACTACTCCACTATCAGGTCGAAGCTTAGCCACATGGTGGATATCCTATCCCGGAGGGGACGTGCGCCTGTAAACTACATGACCCAATACACTGGCAGATGCAATCTAAAACAGAGGCGCTGCGCCTGTAAACTACATGACCCAATACACCGGCAGATGCAATCTAAAACAGAGGCGTGACATCAGTGCCAGCCTGCGCAGCCTCCGGGACGTCTCCCTCTTTTCTCTGAATAAATGATTACTGCACTGAACGCAGAACGCAAAAGCTCCAGTCTCAAATTGCAGTCACTTTGTACCTGCCGATTCTTCCACTTCCTTCTGGCACTTCTACTTTTTTAATACATGTGTACATCACTCTCCAGCACTTTGTTTTATACTATGCAATTCAAGCAATAAAAAAAGAGGGGTTTACTTATACTGCAACTACTTGCATGTTCCTCTTACATGCATTAGTGGTGAAGGTTCATTTTAATTCTGGATGTTTAACCTGAAAAGTAAACTCACTGCTGCTTCCTAGGGTTGCTGATGCTCTGGCTTTAATTTAACATGGTAAATGTGGAAAAATCTGAGTCGGACTGATTGTGCTCAGAGTGGCTTTGGAGATTTAGCTTTACATCAAGGTATACTAGAATTTTTTTTTTCTTTTTAATACTGGCTTTTATTTCTACTTTATCTTCGGCATGAGGGGAAACAACTTTTATAAAGAGCCATAAAGCTAATTTTATTCTAAGTCTGACTTTGGAGAGATATACATCACTCTTCCACTAAAGTTGTAAAGGGTCTGTTGGAGCAGTTGCAGGTTCTTATCTTCAACTGTATCCTTTTTCCACTGTTTAAGCCTTCTGAAATGGACTGAGCTAACTAGCTCTTCAGTTTGGTCATCCTCTCATGCCTTTGCGTAGATACATATACATATACCTGTATATATAAGTGTGTGTACGTATACACATCCTCAGAAGAGCATCTTCTTAAAACCAAGACCAGGAAGTAGCAACTTAGCACTCCAAGATAGCTGTACCCATTTTAGGTACAGTCCTGATGTAAATGTTTCTAGTATTTGGAACTAAAAGCTAGGTATGTCGGAGCTGTATGTAAGACTATTAATGGGAACGTATTGAAGCGTTGGGTTTTGTGCTTGTGAGTGGGAGATGAGGTGATATCTGGCGTTCGATGTCTTGCTGCAGCATACCTGTTGTACTTCTCTTTTGGAATGACTTCAAAGAACTTTGTCTCTTGTGCAACTTGTTACACAGAATTAAGACTCTTAGTCTTAGCACTGTAAAATGAGCTTCCAATTCTGGCTCGGCTTAGGAATGTCTGAACCATCTTGCTTCTGTTAAAAGACCTGTGAACAGCTTCCTTCTTTGGAGTGAACTTAAGAGGCGAGACAATCACCGAGGGCGTGTGACAAAGCCCCTGTTCAAAAGTAAACTGACAAATGCACTACAAAATGTTATGGGTCATGTTTGGTAATATTATTGTACAAGTAAGTGTTAAGAGTGGAAAAAACCCCACCAAAACCATTTTTCTCTTTAAACTGTCCTATCTGAAATATTCTGTTTCCTGCTCTGTTTATCCTTTATCCACTACTAACTTGGCTTGAGGAGCAGAAGTGCCGGTCTATTTTTTAAAATATTTCCAATATTAAATGGATCTTGGGTTAAGTTGCTTTGCAGAGACATTACCTGAATATTTTTTAGTGGTACTGTGTGTGCTTGTGCTTGCTGGATCACTTACTTGAGCAGCGTGTGGATTCCCTCTCCGAGATCTGACCTGTACTGTTATTCTTTAGGCCTCCATCCCAGTACTTTAGTGACCAACCAGACTCTGAATTCCGCCAAGTCAAATCGGTCTGGGTGTAATGTATCTTCTTCTCATTTATGGGCACGTGTGTCCAGTAGATGGCACGTTTCAGCCATTGTCTTGAATATTCCCATAAAAACAGCAATGAATGAGTGAACAGAAAAATATCCAAAACTCAACAAGACTGCAACTTAAGTGTAGACAGCAACACTTTATTCTACTAACTTTTCTATCTCTGTCCATATAGATTTCAAAGAGGCTTAGCTACTTTTGTAGCTCGGATTTCAATGCAGCCACCTCCTCCCTAAAGCAGTAAGGCAGATGTACAAAGAGGTGCAGGCAGGAAAAAACCCTCTGTTTGCACTTGTTTAGAAAGATACGATACTTTCTTGCCTGGTCCCTGGAGCTGGAACAGCGGGGGCGAAGCAAGTTGCAGAGAGGGAGCCAAGATACACCTTCAAAGCCAATCTCGGGTTGTATTTTTAAGAGCTCATGTCCAGCAGTGCTTGACTGTATGTAAAATCAACTTCGTTCTATGTGCTTTTTAACTTTATTACACTGTGCAGCTGTTTTGGTACTCTCGCAGGAACAAGGAACACTTTACAAATAAACTCTTCTTGCCACGGGGTTTTTCACCTGATCGTTGCTGAGCTTTGTTTTCTATTTGTTTGGCGTTTTGAATCTGGGTGACTAATGCAGCGCTTCCCCCGCCGTTGGTGCTTTCCCTGGAATGAAGCCGCCTGTCCGGGAGGGCCCTTTGCCCTCCCTAACCGTAGGAGCAGCCTTTTGATCGGGGGCTGGGGAGCAGGTCCAGGGCTGTACTTGCTCTCCCTGCTTCATTCAAGGTTTGCTTTTTCTGCGGCTGCTTCCCTGGCCGGGGAGAAGCCAGCCGGCTCTGCCACCCGCGACGTTCCCGCGGGAGACGCTGCTCCAGCGCCCCTTTCCCTCCC